TCACTTAAAATTCTACACACACTCCAAAATGCTTAGTTATACAAGCCACAGATGGTTAAATAAAAATGATAGAAGTATGCACTCATCATAACTCATCGTAACTAGATTTTTAAAAGTTTTTCAGGCTGCAAAACAACCGTATAAACATTTATCTGATTGATTTTTCCTCTATAGTTTAACAGCCATAAGATGTATTTTGTCTATAAAGGGAAAAACAAACAAAAACTAAGGCTATCACCTTTTCACTAACTCAAGTGTGTCTCTAATACACTATGGGACTGAACAATGTTCTGAGAAACAAAACACAACAGGATAAAACAAATATGAAAAGGATAAAGACATTTTGGAGAAATGAGATTTTTCAATATCCAAAGCAATGAAAGAAAGGGTAAGATGAGGTAATGCATTTTGATTTACAGAAAAAGGAGCCATGATGTAATAAAGATTGTCATTCTTAATAAGACCAATTTATTTGATTCTGAAGGAAGATGTGGAACAAAATATAAATCCAAAGGACTATTTATTTATCACTAAGAGAGATAACAGGAATGTTAGTATGTTCAATGTTCATCACCACCACCTACCCATACTCAAGAAAAAAATATATCTATTTGCAAGCAGTATCAAACACCATTGCCTAATTTAAAAATATTCTGGGACCTCTTATTGATCAATATCTCTTATAGAAAGGGTGAAAGTATAGCATCTGAACTGAAACAGTACTATTAGAAAATGATGCCGTGAGCATTAGGATGTATAATTCATGTTGCTTTCATTTGCTCAGACCATTGTAAAAATCCATAAATCATTTTCTTGTTCATGTATTGCTTAAGTGCAATTTGTCATTTTGCATTAGAGGGCTGCTTCAGCTCATCAGTGCTTTTAATTCACTGTCTAGAGTTTAACAAAATGCTGGCCCTGTCTGCTCACTTGGAAAGACACTGAAGCGTGAAGCCACACCAATGTTAACTAGGTTAAACAAAACAGAGAACATTTCTACTTTGAATATCAAATAAAGCTTCACGGAATAGCTAGTACTCTCAGTCCCCCAAAACATGGATTGGCTTATTCTCTGTTGGGTTCAAAGCCTTAGAACACAGCCACTAAAGAATTACCTGAAAGCTTACATAGCATAGGCTGTATTTTCTCCCCCAAGAATCTCTGGCCCACATTCACTCTTTAGAATAAAAGCGAACACAGTCTGTGGTATTGGATCCAGAGCTTTGCCTTCCCACCTCTTGTTAGGTTACCCTGCTACAAACACTTCTATTGCATGGCTACCCTGAAAGGATGCAATGCAGCCCAGGCAGGTCCTTTGCTTTTGCTCTCTGCACCCTCCTTGCTGGAAATGACAAGTGCCCAGAACCATCTGGCTCAATCCTGGGCGAGCCTGGAGTCTGAAATACTCTTTATTGACAATTTTAATTTTTTGTCTTCCATTTCTTTAAAAAAAAAGTCTTCTCTCAAGGCTCTGGGCACACTGCAATAACAAGAGGATTTAGAAACAAATTGCTTTCAAGTCAAGTTAAGTCACTGCAAACACTCATTTATCCAAACGCTGGTTAACAAACGTGTCTCCCTCCCACCTATTCTAGAAAGGGTAGGGAAGGCAGCAACCCGGTTACCTAGTTTCAGAATTTGTAACTAGGCATGTAAAATGCATGTGTGGGATCCTTAGTGCCCCCCTATTTCTGCTGCACTTAGAGCCCAATGAGAGAGAGGAAGGTGCCTTATCACTCCCATACACCAAGACTTTTATGAAAATTGATTTTGATATCCTCCCTCCAAATAATCACCACTTTCCCCTTCTGTTTTAGAACGCAATTTGTTTTGACCCAGATGGTTGGCCCTCCTGGAGGGGCCACCGAGGTGGGGGGCAAGGTTATGTTCACTAGAGATTGCCTCTCCCTTTGCTGCCCAGGGATGGGGTGTCCAGGGATACAGTACTGTATGAGACCCTGCACTTCAAAGGTCCCCAACCCACCACGGAGGCTATTTCTATGCTCATGACCTCACTAAATTCTGGGTCCACCAAAGAGAGTGAAAAAGAAAAAGGGAGGGGGGAGGTCTGCTTGATTGACACAGCAAGGGAGAGAAGAAACCAGTTACACTTAAGAGGCAAATTTAAAGTGTTGTTTTGTTTGGTGGGTGGCAGGGCGGGGCTGTTCAATGGTTTCAGGTTTCGGAGGTAAAGAAGGCTATCAGTGCCCACTCTGTGAATCTTGGTCCCCAGCAAAATGCTCTTGCTTTTGCCCTTGGCCGGAGTTACCCAGAGGGAGGCGGGCGACTCTGGCAGAAGACCCCGTCGTCACCCCGCCGGTTCCGAGGGTGCCTCAGAGACTACAGGTCAGAGAGGGGAGGCCTCTGCAGGCCCCGGACCGGCGTGGCCCTCGCGGTCTCAGGCCTTTGTGACCCAAGAAATCCTGCAGAGCCCCCCACAGGCGAGCCCTTCCCAGAGAGAGAGTAGAGCTACAAGCAAATTTCTCTGGCTTGCCCTATGCTACTTTTGCCGCTAGGAGGCGCTTGTAACCCACGTTTGCAGAGAGAGTCCCGTTCAAACACATCTGCTACCAGAAAATAAAAAAAAATAAAAAGCGGTTCAAGCGTTACAGTGGATGTAGTGGTTATTTACAGGCAAATCTGACCATCTCTCCACATCCTCCTCTCCACCTCAGGAAGCCCTTTGGCTCTCAGCGAACACCCAAGTCTGCTCAAACTTCACCTGCATTTTGAAAACAAAAACCTCTTCCCCAAATTCTGGATCTGCATTGTCATTCAGCCGCAGGGCTCTCACACGCAAACACGCACGCACACGCGCGCACACATACAAGCGTGTCCACACGTACATAGGAAAACATGAGAAAATTACCGTCATTTAAAAAAAAATGCTCCAGGGTTCTGATGAGTCAGCTTGAAGAGCTCAAAACCTGTCCTTTCAATCCTGCAGTTCTAAAGAAAGCGAGGGGGGGGGGGGGAGTAAAAGTACAGACGCAATGCCATATTCGTATTCAGATAAACTATAATCCCCTTTTCATTGATCCACAGGTCCTTTTGTAAAGCGCCGCTCCGTTCTCAGTAGCAAGACGTGACGCTAAAATCATTTTAACTGCAGCGGTTTCCACTTGGCTTTGGCCAGTCATCAATTTACTGCAGCTGAAAAAGGATTAGCCATTTTTGCTGGCATCCTTTCCTTCTAAACGCTCAAAGGCAGGACCCAACACCACCAAAGAGCTGGGGGGGGGGGGGGGAGGGCAGTAGGCACGCACTCGCGGGACTGGTCTGGGCCTGGCTCCATCCGCAAGCAAGTCCGTGGACAATCGCCGTCCTTAATTCCCTGCCTGGCGGGAACGGCCACGTAGCTTGAGGTCGGGGAAACGGATCTCCTTTTCTCGCAGGTAGTGGCGGTGTTACTCTAGGGTCATTCATTACGAGGAAGCCACCAGGGACCCTCCTATCTCGTGGCTTATGAAGGAAACGGAACAGGTGCTGCTTTGGTGAATCAACACGCCCCCCCCCCCGGCCCTCCCCGCCGTCCATTACTTCACATAGAACTATGTTTTTAAAATATATTTGTTGGAGAATTGGCATGCAGTCCTCTCTCCAGCATGGATGAGTTCGCGCTGTATTCTAACTTCACAGGAGCTGGGCGTGTGGACGCGCCGCTCTGCCCCCGCTCCTGGCGAGCGGGCACTCGGAGCTCGCCAAGCGCATCCTTTGGGACCCGAGAGTGGGGGGTGGGGTTCCTCTGGGACTCACACAGAGCTGTGCTGTGCGCCGCGGCTGGGAAGGATGGATTAGAGCACCCAGAATGTGCCAGCGCATCGCCCGATCCCCGCAGAAACACACACACGGCCCCGCGTTTCGCCCGGTCTATCCGCCACCCCCACCCACTCCCAAGTTCTCAGACGCCCCGCTGTCCTCATGCAGCGAGCGTGCAAGGATCGCTGGGCAAGCATTGGCGCCCCTGTCTTGCACGGGGGCGGGGGCGGGGGGCGAGGGAAGGGGGCGGGGGGCGAGGGAAGGGGGCGGGGGCATCTTCGATTGTCAGAAATAAAGCCGAAAAGAAATAGCCTGTGCGCGCCGCCGCCGCGTAGCACTCGGCGGGGAGAGGCGCAGGGCTACCGCAGGCTCCTTGCAGCGCCTGGCGGTGCTCGGAGCCCGAAGCCGGGAGGCGAGCGTTCGGCGGGCTGGAGGCAGAGCTCAAATGAAACAAGCCCCTCAGTCTTTGCTCAAAGCGCTCGCAGCTCAAACTAGGTCCCCAGACGAGTTAATCTATTCAGTAAGGACATGTGGGTCTGCCATGAAGACGGCAGGAGGCGAGTCTATAGCGTCTGCAGGTCCATAGTATCGGCCAGCCCTGACCTCCTGGGCTGAATCCCACCTCCGACCCACACGCCTGTTCCAGGCGGCGCCTGCAGACCCTCAAGCTCAGCCTGACACAGGCCTTGTTAGATCCAGCTTTTAAATGCCCTGCCCGCCTCTGCCAGAGCTCCTTAACTTAGGTAACCCCTGCCGATTAATAGCCACGCTGCAACTTTTTTCCCGTTCTCGGTCATTTATTTCCACGATCAGTAGCAAGGAAAATACCTTAAAGGAAAAAGAATGTTAGCGTCATCGGAAACCCCGCTCCTGAGAGAGGAGACCGCTCCTGTGGTTGCTATTATGATCTCGCAGTTGCTGATGCAAACGGGGGAACCTCTCTATTCCCTCTCGGTTCCCTGCGGCTGGGGACGGGGAACTTTCCGCGCCAGAGTCCCCAGCCGGCGCCGCGGGACCGGCAGGGCGGTCCCCGCTCTCACACTCACACTCACTGCGACCGCCCGGGCGCGGGTTCTCTCTCGCCCCGCCCGGCTGCCAGGTGACGCGCCTACTTGACGGCCAGTTCCGCCAATTAGCAGTGGCTCGGGGGGTGGTGCTCCTCGGGGATTGGTTGGCAGAATGAGGGCGCTGCGCAAAAACAGAGAAGCGTTGCGCTCGGAGCTCAGAAACTGCCAGCAGAGATCGCAGGCTCCAGGGCTGAGCCGGAGGAGGGAAAGGCTGGAAGGAAGAGAGACAGCTTAGAGGGAAAGAGGCTTGGGAAGGAAACAGCAGGGAAGAAACTGCTCATCACACCTGCAGAGAGTCAAAGGACCGTGGGAATGAGGACGGAGAGAGACAAGACTGTGGAAGCCAAAAAATACAAATAGAGCGAGAGAGGAAGAAGAAGAAAAAAAATGCCCAGAACATTCATCCGGAGAAATGAAGAGAATGAAAGTTTTATGCTGCAGAGCCGTTATATGCTTTTCCGGCACAACATTCTCTCCCTGCTTTTAAGCCCTTTGGCATTTGCCCGCCGTTGACATTAAGAGGCATGTTCAGCGGTGCCGGCAGCATCTCCTCTTCCTTCTCCTCTTCCTCTTCATCCTCCTCCTCCTCCTCCTCCTCCTTTCCCTCCTCCTTCGCCTCCCATCAGCAGGAAGACAAACCGAGGACAGTCTTGAAATATCGAAATTTCCTCCTTGGGATTTGCCAGCGTCGCGTTGCGCCAAGACTGTCGGAATAAAGGACGCTGACTATTGTATTATTATTTTATTAATTGGTCAGTGGGAAGATTACAGATGAGGAAAGGGGACGCCTGCCACTCTTCCTGCACTAAGATTGAAAAATGAGGCTGACCTGGGGGAAGCCCTAAAATGAAGCAAAAAGAATAAGATTTTTAAGGACAGAAAGCCACAGGATCCCCCCCACGTAGAACACTTCTATTTGTATTTAATTTTTTTTTTCTCGTGCCGGTGGGGGAGGTGACTGGCGGGCTGCGGGAAGCTGCTTCCTTCCCCGTTGGAGATGATTGTGCTATTATTTTTTGCCTTGGTCTGGATGGTGGAAGGGGTGTTTTCCCAGCTTCACTACACGGTGCAGGAGGAGCAGGAGCATGGCACTTTCGTGGGTAACATCGCGGAAGATCTGGGCCTGGACATTACAAAACTTTCGGCTCGCAGGTTTCAGACGGTGCCCAACTCTCGGACCCCATACTTGGACCTCAACCTGGAGACCGGGGTGCTGTACGTGAACGAGAAGATCGACCGGGAGCAAATCTGCAAGCAGAGCCCCTCCTGCGTCCTGCACCTGGAGGTGTTCCTGGAGAACCCCTTGGAGCTGTTCCGGGTGGAGATCGAAGTGCTGGACATCAATGACAACCCCCCCTCCTTCCCGGAGCCGGACCTGACCGTGGAGATCTCCGAGAGCGCCACGCCGGGCACCCGCTTCCCCTTGGAGAGCGCCTTCGACCCAGACGTAGGCACCAACTCCCTGCGGGACTACGAGATCACCCCCAACAGCTACTTCTCCCTGGACGTGCAGACCCAGGGGGATGGCAACCGGTTCGCCGAGCTGGTGCTGGAGAAGCCGCTGGACCGAGAGCAGCAAGCGGTGCACCGCTACGTGCTGACCGCGGTGGACGGGGGAGGCGGGGGAGGAGGAGGAGGAGGCGGCGAAGGAGGGGGAGGCGGCGGGGGAGGGGGCCTGCCCCCCCAGCAGCAGCGCACCGGCACGGCCCTACTCACCATCCGAGTACTAGACTCCAACGACAACGTGCCCGCCTTCGACCAGCCCGTCTACACGGTGTCCCTGCCCGAGAACTCGCCGCCGGGCACGCTGGTGATCCAGCTCAACGCCACCGACCCAGACGAGGGCCAGAACGGCGAGGTCGTGTACTCCTTCAGCAGCCACATCTCCCCCCGGGCGCGGGAGCTCTTCGGGCTGTCCCCGCGCACAGGCCGGCTGGAGGTGAGCGGGGAGCTGGACTACGAGGAGAGCCCGGTGTACCAGGTGTACGTGCAAGCCAAGGACCTGGGCCCCAACGCCGTGCCCGCGCACTGCAAGGTGCTGGTGCGGGTGCTGGACGCGAACGACAACGCGCCGGAGATCAGCTTCAGCACCGTGAAGGAGGCGGTGAGCGAGGGCGCGGCGCCCGGCACGGTGGTGGCTCTGTTCAGCGTGACCGACCGCGACTCGGAGGAGAACGGGCAGGTGCAGTGCGAGCTGCTGGGGGACGTGCCGTTCCGCCTCAAGTCTTCCTTCAAGAATTACTACACCATCGTGACCGAGGCCCCCCTGGACCGCGAGGCGGGGGACTCCTACACCCTGACCGTGGTGGCCCGGGACCGGGGCGAGCCGTCGCTCTCCACCAGCAAGTCGATCCAGGTGCAAGTGTCCGATGTGAACGACAACGCGCCGCGGTTCCACCAGCCGGTCTACGACGTGTATGTGACCGAGAACAACGTGCCGGGCGCCTACATCTACGCCGTGAGCGCCACGGATCGCGACGAGGGCGCCAACGCCCAGCTCGCCTACTCGATCCTCGAGTGCCAGATCCAGGGCATGAGCGTCTTCACCTACGTGTCCATCAACTCCGAGAACGGCTACCTGTACGCCCTGCGCTCCTTCGACTACGAGCAGCTCAAGGACTTCAGCTTCCAGGTGGAAGCGCGGGACGCCGGCAGCCCCCAGGCGCTGGCGGGCAACGCCACCGTCAACATCCTCATCGTGGACCAGAACGACAACGCCCCGGCCATCGTGGCGCCCCTGCCCGGGCGCAACGGGACGCCCGCGCGCGAGGTGCTGCCCCGCTCGGCGGAGCCGGGCTACCTGCTGACTCGAGTGGCCGCGGTGGACGCTGACGACGGGGAGAACGCCCGGCTCACCTACAGCATCGTGCGGGGCAACGAAATGAACCTCTTCCGCATGGACTGGCGCACCGGGGAGCTCCGCACGGCTCGCCGGGTGCCGGCCAAGCGCGACCCCCAGCGGCCTTACGAGCTGGTGATCGAGGTGCGCGACCACGGGCAGCCACCCCTGTCCTCCACCGCCACCCTGGTGGTGCAGCTGGTGGATGGCGCTGTCGAGCCCCAGGGCGGGGGCGGGGGCGGGGGCGGGGGGTCGGGGGAGCACCAGCGCCCCAACCGCTCCGGCGGCGGGGAGACCTCGCTGGACCTCACCCTCATCCTCATCATTGCGCTGGGCTCGGTGTCCTTCATCTTCCTGCTGGCCATGATCGTGCTGGCCGTGCGCTGCCAAAAAGAGAAGAAGCTCAACATCTACACGTGTCTGGCCAGCGATTGCTGCCTCTGCTGCTGCTGTGGCAGCGGGGGCTCGACCTGCTGCGGCCGCCAAGCCCGGGCTCGCAAGAAGAAACTCAGCAAGTCGGACATCATGCTGGTGCAGAGCTCCAACGTAACCAGCAACCCGGCCCAGGTGCCCGTGGAGGAGTCCGGGGGCTTTGGCTCCCATCACCACAACCAGAATTACTGCTACCAGGTCTGCCTGACCCCTGAGTCCGCCAAGACCGACCTGATGTTCCTTAAGCCCTGCAGCCCTTCTAGGAGTACTGACACTGAGCACAACCCCTGCGGGGCCATCGTCACTGGCTACACTGACCAGCAGCCCGACATCATCTCCAACGGAAGCATTTTGTCCAACGAGGTAAGGCTGAAGCGCAAGGACCACCATCTCTCATCTCCTCCATCTGAAAGCCTCCTCTAGCCTGGCCCCTGTTATTCGTGGTGCACTGTGTATTTATTTTTAGGATATTAGCTTATTTGTATCTCTGTGGGAGGGTGAGGGGGGGGGCACCCTCTTCCACCCCTTTGTGTGTAATCTAAACTACGTGTTGTCCCTTATTTTTTGCGCTCCACCCCTCCACGTTTATTTTCATTTCCTACCCTTGGTGCATTGCCACCTTGGACTTGCTTTCTTCCCTCTGGCATCTTGGCTTTAAAATTCCAACCCCCTCTCAGTCCTTCACCTTCTTAGAAATCTGGGAGTGAAGGGGCAAGTGGGCGGGGACAGGGGGAAATGGGGTGGAGGAACTTACTGGCACTGGCAAAAGTCTTTTCTCTTTGCGTCTGTCTCAGGCCTTAATAAAGTTCATTGTTTTGCCCTGTTTATCGATGATGCTTTCAGTCGCGTGTAAAAGTAAGCTGTAGATTGTCTAACTTTGCACAGTTGTCTAAACTCGAATGCATGTTGTAGTGAAGGAGTTATCAGATTCCTGTCCTCTGAACTCGGGTTGCAGAAAAGCCTTCAGTTCTGTTCTGGACAGCATTTACAGACGCTCTTGAAGCCGAAGGCCCACACAGTGTGAATTTGAATGAAGTTGCTTTGGCACAAGCCCCTGTAAGCATAAACTAAACGGAAGGCTTAAACAATTGTTGTCTTAAATATATCTCTTAGCTAATAATCACCTTCTTGCCACTTTTTTTTTTTTTGATAAATCACTGCTGTTGGCTTTCTTCATCAAAGGATTTGGCTTGTCAATTCTGATTTATTCTTGAAAGATGGAGAAGTGGCAAAGTTGGAGGGAAGGAAGGAGGGAGGGAGAGAGGGAGGGAGGGGGGGAGGGAGGGAGAGAGGGAGGGAGGGGGGGAGGGAGGGAGAGAACAGAGTTGATTCATATAAAAGAAAGTTTGGACCAGAAGAGGTGTATGGGTGGTGGAGGTGGGAGGAAGATGCAGAGGGCCTTTGGAGGGGGAAAGATTTTGGTGGGAGGGAAAGTTATGAACTCCTTTCTTGGCAGGTTATTTTATTTATTTGAGTCTTAGATATTATTAATTGACTTTCATGAATATTTGTACAGCTCATTTGTATCTTAAGCACATTTTGAAAATAAACAACAAAATAATTCCATAAAATATCCAAACTTTTGCTTATTGAGCGTGCTGTTTTTCTTGTGTCAACCAGTATACACCTAAACACTTTTTTAGGCCATTGAAAGAAAGACTACAGAGTATAACTAGGTTGACTCTATCGGAGACAATCGTTTATGAGCCCCAGCTGTGAGGTCATTAGCATTCTCTCCTTAAAAAACGCCCACACATTTAACATTGGCCTTTTACACCTGCATTTTTTTAACCTTTACTGAAAATCCAGGCTGAGGTGTCTTTTCATATCTCCGTGCCCTTTCCCAGCAATTGGGCTGAAATCTTAGGACAACATAGAAATCCATAAAAATGTCCACAATTACTTAAGTTAGAATTAGTTTTCAACCTCAAAAGCAGACTATTAGTTAACCCTTAGCATTCAAAGGCTCTTGATTTATTTATTTTTTTTCTAGACTAAACATCAGAGAGCAGAGCTCAGCTATCTAGTTGACAGACCTCGCCGAGTTAACAGGTATGGACTCATTTTTTACTTCCTAGCTTGGTGTATGGACAATCTACTACCCATTGCAAGTAAGAATTAGGTATAGTATTCAATAATATAATATAAAACATACAAAGTATTTCCAATTAAGGCAGGGCATAAATACTAATTAAGTTTCCTACTTAACATTAAAATGTGGGTATCTTATATACAAGTGTCTAAATATTTTTGAATATTTTGTCAGTTTTCACCCTTACACTGTTTCTGATAGTCTTCCTAACTGTTCCAGGTATATATACACACCTGCTGTGTAAAATGATATACACATATGCGTAGCCCCAATGGTAGAATTCCTATTGCCTAAGCTTTACATGCCTTAAAGGGCTCAAACTGACTGCTAATACTCAATTTTAAAGAGTTAGGCTTCAGCTTATGAAAACAAGCTTTATGCAGAAATAAAGCCAACTCAGAGGTCTATGAATCTGCAGCGCCACCGGCGACCATGTGGTGGCAGAAGAATGTTTTGTGTGTAACTTCACCTTTTTTATTCTAATGTTCACATTTTTGTACTTCTAGTTCTGCATTCCAGGAAGCCGACATAGTAAGCTCTAAGGACAGTGGTCATGGAGACAGTGAGCAGGGAGATAGTGATCATGATGCCACCAACCGTGGCCAGTCAGCTGGTAAGTGTGATCAAAGAGCAATCTAAATGCTGGCTTTTATAGTTTTAAAAAAAATCTAGAAAAGATGATGTCCTAAGTATTTTTTTTTTTTTTTTTTTGGTAAATTTAATGTTGCTACCTCTACAGGAAAGGACTGAGTCATCCTATGTTGATAACTGTATATTCAAAGAGGATTCTAAAAATGCAATGTTCCTTTGGAGAGTTAAAGTTAGAAATTCATTGTGGAATATATTAGAATTTGAAATATTTCCTCCTTATGTAATGTGCTTTAATGAAATTATAATGCATGCAAAAAGCCATAGATCTCTCACCTGGGCCAGTCCCCAGTTTTCAGTCAATTAAGATATTATTAGACTTGTTTGTGGATGAGGTAAGTGAAGATGAATGAAATTGATTGACCTGTACAAGGTCACAAGAGGCTAAGTGGATAACTGGGACTCGAATCCACATTCTTTCCATACAGTACATTTTGCACGCCACCAAGTAGTGAATTTGAGAACAGATGGTGATTGAAAGTCATAAATAGGTTGAAAGCAGGATTTCCAACCCTGGGTTCTTAGGCTTCAGGACATTAGCAAACATTTGATAGTGTGTATTTCCTGACGTGTGTTAGGTTTCCTTGTATTTTCAACAGGGTCCGTGACCTGTCAGAAAGTTGGAGGCCATGTATATTTATATGTGGGCTTAATGGTAGTCACTGATTGGGCCGCAATGGAATACTTTTATTTTATTTTATTTTATTTTGCTTTAGTTTTTCCATATGAATTTATTCTTGACATTTTATAGGACCCTGATAACTCTAATTACTAATTCATAAAGGAAACACTTAAGAGAAATAACATGTGTACCTTAACATAATGAAAATAGTCTCATAAAGTTTGGATTTTCTTTCCCTTTCATTTGCACTTCATCTAAAAGGGTGCTTGTGAATTTTGTTTTCTTTTACTTTTTATTTTCTGATCAAGTTTTGTGTTTATCTGATACATAAGAAAATGGAAAGGCAAGTCAAGTTTTGTAACTTCTAAAAACGTCCACCATTGGAACGTCTCTGGGTCAACTTCTTTGGCTTGCGATTTGAGCTTTATTTTGATTAATGATGTAATAAGCATAGAGTGATAGGGTCCTTTCTTCAAGGCAGCGTTGGTCCTCGAGAGCACCCATTCCTCAACACACTTGGTGGACCTCTGAATGGGGCTGAGGCAGTGTGTCAAAGGGCAGTACACGCCCCGCGGTCGCCTGGCAGCAGTGGCCGCTGCAAGCCTAAGACTGGGCTAATGTGTGCTGTGTCTGAGGCTGCCTTAAGCTTGGGAAACACAGGCAGGAGGAGGGGGGAAAGGCTGCTCAAGGGTCTCTTTATTTTGCTGCAAGTCATTAATATGCAGACCTAATGAGACTTGAGAACTGCCAAGAATCCCCGGAGGTCCCTGCCCCTTGCAGGCCTTCACGCTAAGTGAACAGAGCATCTATTTAGTGTCTGGGAACCTGACAACAAACCAGATCTTGCCAGAAGTTTATATTGGAGTACAAAGTCCCTTTCATTTTTGGCCTATATATGGCATATGATTTATTGTTATCTTAAGAAGCTGTACATTTAGAATCATGCATTCCTATTCTTTTCTCGGAGTGTCTAACTTAACAGTCAGCCTTTTAAAACTTTTAAAACAAAATCTTTAATATGAAAAACTGAGTATCTGCTGAATGCTCCCTGGGATGCATTTTATTCCTTTCCAACTCTACCACTTTGCTTGGTGTGTGTGTGTGTGTGTGTGTGTGTGTGTGTGTGTGTGTGTGTGTTTGCTTTTTTTTCCTGTGGCACTCCAACCTCAATAAACATTTCAATTAGTTTAGTCCCTCAGACATAATGAGCTATAATCACCTAACCAAAGAAAGAGAAATGAATAAACATCTGCAAAAAGCACTAAATTTGGAAGGTGGATGGGAATATATTCCTGCCCATGCACCTTCCAGTACTTGTTTTATTTCATAGGCACTCAGTGTTGCCATTGTGGGGATGTTTCTTTCCATGGTTTGAGATGTCAAAGCATTAAAAGGAAAATGAAAATACTAAACTATGCTCTGAAAAACATTTTTTAAAAGTAAGACAGTTTTTATTTTTCTTATCAAAATGGCCAGTTCTCCCCTATCCTTATGTTTTTAAACATGTAAAAGTAGTACAGAATCTATAATCTCTGTATTTCATTAACAGTTTATAGGGCAGCCACTACATACTGGGCACAAGAATAGCTGTTTCGGAATTGGAACTGCACACTTTTATTAAGAAGTAATTGCACCTTTGTGTGCTGAATTGCAGTCCGTTTTAATATGTCTAATTTCATTGTAAGAATGATTTTGAATGTTTTCTTTTTTTAAGCATACAATCCTAAATGCAGAGAATTAAAATGCATTTACTTAATGCTTTTTTCCAGTCAAACTGATGTTGTGTATTATAAAACCACATGAAAAAGCTAAAACATTTTCTAAAAGTTAAGCCCATTTCAGGATATCCATTTCATTTCATTGAAAAGCCAGGTATTAACGATCTTCCAATGTTGCAATATTTAGGAAATATTCAAAGCACATGCATTTTCAGGTTTAGGATATGAAAACATTTCATACTAATAAGCAAATCTCTCTTAGCTGCATTTTAAGGGGAAGAGGTTAGATTATCAAGGGGAAATAACTCTGGAAAGATATAGAAATCTGAATTTTCCCCTTTAGCTTGCACTGCATTCCATACTGCATCTCATACACTGTTTGGCTTAGTGCTTCGCCTGTTTAAACTTCCTAACTTCTTCTGTATTCCCAAATCCTTTTTCTATGTTAACATTACGTTATAGGCACTTATTTAGATATGCCTTCTATTTATTCTTCTATGAATAGTTTTCCTTTTTTGTTCTCCCCTCCCCCCACTTGTCCTCTTTCTAAGCCATTTGAAGTCACCAATTTTGTTCATAGAAGGGCTTTAAATACAGAGGCAGCTGCACAGAGAATCACATAAGCTTTTTCAGTTTCCCACTGCACCTGGATCCTGTGTAAAATTCGTCAGATTGACCACTGCTCTGTGGAACTTTTTTTCCTATAGCCTTGCCAAGGTGCTTTCCATGTCTTTTTCGGTGCACTATTGATGTATTGGTCAGATATGGCAAAAGTCCAAGGAGATGTGGTAAATGCATGCATAAATCATCACAAGAAGCAAAACTGATTAATCACAGCTGAAGTAGCCAAAGAAAGTCAAGGTGGATTTTAAAAGATATATATTTTCAATTTTGTTTATTTTATCATTAGATTAAAAGATAGGCTTTTTTTTTTTTTTCTCATTTAGAATACTGGTACAACATTTTTTGTTGTATATCCTTAGACATTTTCATATTATTGGGAGTACAACTAAGGAGATCTATTAAGTTGTAAGAAGTTGCTTTTTAATTTAAAATACAATGTGCATAATACTAGAATTAAGTATGAATTTATTTTTCATAATTGTGGCTTCTGAAAATATATATTGAAGAGGAGAACCCTAATAAGTGATTCTGTTAATGTTACCTCAAAATGTCAAATTGCTCTTAATTTTTTCAGTTACAAGGGAACTTAGCATCTAAATGTATTTTTTTCTTAACTAATTATTATGAGATTGATACATAATACATGGTCAAATTTTGGCTATACATTTTTTAAAAATGATTTGAATTATCAATATAAACTAGTAGGTAAATTATATCATAAACTGTATTAATATCAATAAGAGAATCCTTGAATTACCATAAATGTAAATTTCCCTTTCCAAAAACTCTAAGAATTTAGAGACTGGCAAAGTTTTTGGCTTTATAAATAAATTGAATTACACCATTGTTTGCAAAAACTCACTAAGGTTTGTGGTGAATGTCTGAGCTACAAAGATTTGCAATTAGAAAAATACATGACAAAATATTGAGAGAAAGTGGAAAAAAATATAAACATTTTTAAAAAATAGGTAGAGAAAAACTATGATAGGCATGTTTTGAACTTTATGTTTGAATTATGTTGATAAATATCTGCCTCCGAACCACATTATCCTAATAATTATAGCAATTTCTATGGTTATAATTAATATCTCTCAGTGTCCAGTGTTATGTGGTCAAAGCAATACTAGAAATTTCCTCAAAAAATTTAAGTGTTGATTTTCTTTAAAATTAACTTATCATGTTTGAAAATAATAAACATCTTTTATGAAGGTTTGGTGCATGAGAAATGTACACATAGTTTTATATTATTACATTCATCAAGAAACAGTACAAGTTAAATACAAATATATCATCTTTGAAATTATAATTTGTTCTCAGTGGTACTATCACTGTCTCCAACAATAAGGGACAAATTATTTGCCAGTCATAAAAGACATATTTTAAAATTTGTCTAAATATATCTGTGCATAACAGGCAGTCTATCACATCAGCTGTTATGCCTTGTAGAACAGATTATTCCTGAGAAGTGAAAATAAATAAGTAGGAGAAGATTTGCAAGTAAAAAAAAAAATATATATATATATATATGGAAAGAGATTTCTTAGAAACTACCATACCTTCAAAACTGAGGCTTGTTCTGCACTTTTCTGCTATACAAATCCTATAGGTACTACAGTAAGAGCATTTGAATGAGGACAAAAACAAAAATAATCAAGTTAAATTTACTTTCCCTTGGGACTTCAATTAGAGCCATTAAAAAATTCCCCAAGCAATGTGAATGTTAATATGTCATTTTACTATGTCACATGGTAAAATACCGGGCATTCCTGTGCATCATGTAGTCATTTATCCCAATAAACTTAAATATACCTCTGCCTACTTGGTCATTAAAATAATATTTAATAGAGCTAGTGATAAATGAAAAAAAGACAAAATAATGTTAGACTTTCAATGGCTCCCTAAGATGAGGACTGTTTATGAAAAAATGTTGCTTTCAAACTATATATAAAAAAGAAAGAAAAAATTCATTTTCAATAAATATTTTTATTCGTTATTTTAAATTTATTGATGTACTATTTCTGTTATTAAAATTATGGCATTTTCCTTATAAGAAATGTGTACACTTGCTTTACCAGTAAAACTGGTAAAACATATTCGTGTATAATTTGTGACACCTTATCTTTCCGTCTAGTTATAGAAAGCTGTGTGTTATTAGTATGGTAATTCTATTTGAAAGGATTAGTTCACAAATTTCTCAAGAACATTATCCATAGGTGTGTTTTTTTTTTTTTCTTCAGTCAAGTAAGATTCTTTCAACAAAAAACTTTATCTTATTCCACCACTGTTCTTTTTACTCATATGTTGTATTATCTGTACAGGTTCTCAACTCATGAAAACTTTATTAGATCATCTTAGGGACTTTTAACTAGCCTTTAATATTTACAAGAGGCAGAACAGCATACACTTCAAGAGAACAAAATGGGCACAGTTGAGTATTAACTACCCATAAAAACAAGTTCTACTAAAAGTACCTCCTAATATAATCATCTGCATAATGATGTTGAGAAACCAGTTTATTCAAATTTCTCTGTGTAAGATTATTACTAGTATATGCATAATTATAGGAAAACTTGGCTCCAGGCCCTCAAAATATGTGAAAGATTATTAATAGTCTTGTCATATATTTAAAATGGTATTTTCAGTCACGTGATGAAAACTTGTATTAATTCTAAATTTTGCAATAGGTATCCATCTTGATCAGGATCCAATAGTACAATTCTATCTTAATATTTGAATAATTCCATCAGCTTCGAATTCCATATAACCTGAATTTATTTTTAAAAATAAATAATTGCTGATAATAATTTTAGTCTTAATGTTAGTTCCATCTATTACAAATAAAGCCCCCCTCACCATGCACATTATTAATAGGGAGCATTTATATAAGTATAGTATGTCAAAATACAAATCCCTCTGCTTCTCTAGCTTCCACCTACCTGGTATATCAATGCATCAGAGACATCCTTTTCCCTCAACTCTTTTTCTTTCTATGTAGCTGCTTGCAAAAATAGGATTAAAAAACTGACCTCTGATGTCTAGGGAAACACTGACGTGTCTTACATGTGGACCTTATCCTGGCTTCAGCTCACGTTTCTGTTCCTCAACAGTTCACTGATCAGTAATTTATTTGCAGGCTTATGCACAATAACTGTCAATGGAATGTTATAATCGAAGCTAGACTTTGCATTATGTTTAATTTAAATTTAAAAGGTCATTGTAAAGTGAGAATCATATGTGATAAGAAGCTTGGTGTTATTTCCTTCAACATAGTTTATGTAATCAATTAATTTTAATTCATGGATAACCTATAGGGTTAGTAATTTTGCAAAATTAATTCTCTTTATTTTATATATACAGATGTTAACATATACATGCAAACAAATAAATAAGTTTGTGACAGAATCCCATCAGGAATTTAAATCTTAAACTTGCTCAAGAACTCAAATCACTTATGATGTTTATGAAAGAAACAATCAAGTATGTTCATTAAATAAATATTACTCTGTTGGTTAAACAAACAAGAAAAATCCCATGCAGACCAGACATGCATTTGAGTTTCTTACATACAGACCAATGCTACTTTGGTTATTTCAAATTGACCGTGTTTAAAGACATATTCAATAAATGTGTTACTATGTTTAGAAAAACATTAAAATGCTATCTTGGTTTATGACTTGTTTTTCTGCATTAGTGCTAAATATACAAATGAATATCAAATAGTATTCTATAGTGCTCAAAATCATTATGCTTTATTTAAGAAACTGAATGAGTTTTCTCGAGCCATAATCAGATAATGTGTAATAGTCTTGTCAACCTATGGGACACAATGAAACTTGAAATTGACATTTGAAATCTTGATACAGCAAATCCTCACTAAACATCACTGATAGTTTCTGTGAAATGACTTATAATAAACCAGTTATAGCATAGGCCAATTGATAAGAAAAAATAAAACGGTTAAGTTCCTATGACATCTCATTGACATTACAATGAAAGGATGAGACATTATTCGAGGACCTGCTGTATTCTAGGATAGTAAGCAAACTGTGCATTGGCAAGGACCAGATTTTTCCAATATAGACCAAGTAATAAGGTACTTGTCAATAGTATCTGCAGTTGAGTCCCATTGCACTTGGTTACCTTGGTTTCACTAATTACAGTCATTTGTTCTGAATTTGTCTAAGTTGGTAAATGATAAGTGGTTTGTAGTAACATGGGCTACTAGAGTGTCATGGAGAATTACCTTTTAGGAAGTAATTTCCTGGGAACCTAGAGAAGCATGTTCTTGACCACTCGTGAAATCTTATTTCATTCTTGTTATTTACTGCTTTATCAATATGCATGCCAGTTTTCTGTTGAATTTCACTTTTTGTTTCATGTTCAGATTTCAAAAGCTAAATATCAACTTTCGTGCTTTGCACATATTTTTTTCCAATTTTACTTCTAAGAAAAAAAAAAAAGTCAAGATGATTTATCATCATGAGAGATTGTGGATTATGAAAACTTAACACAATTTTTTTTTTCTGTTATGAACTTCACCAGAGATTTTTTTAAAGTACTCCTTTTCTTTCTACTCACCATTTCCAAATTATTTTTAAAAATTTAGAGCCACTATTTTCCCCCCAATACCGCGAGCGGTTTAGAAACATCTATCCCAGACACCTCTTTGCCCAAAGCCTTCTCCTTAACAAAGTAACACAAAGAGATTGTGGGCAGCTCTTAGGTGAAGACAGGAACATCGTGAAGACCGGACATCACTCTGTGTGCTGCCTGTGATCTTTCAGGGCTGTGCCGCGGGCCACGTTGGTGACGCCTACATCTGCAGTGTCTCTTTTTCCTGCTCCCAGGTATGGATCTGTTCTCCAACTGCACCGAGGAATGTAAAGCCCTGGGCCACTCGGATCGGTGCTGGATGCCTTCTTTCGTCCCTTCGGATGGACGCCAGGCTGCCGATTATCGCAGCAACCTGCACGTCCCTGGCATGGACTCTGTTCCAGACACCGAGGTGTTTGAAACTCCGGAGGCGCAGCCGGCGGCAGAGCGGTCCTTCTCCACCTTCGGCAAAGAGAAGGCCCTTCACAGCACGCTGGAGAGGAAGGAGCTGGACGGACTGCTGTCTAGTACACGAGCGCCTTACAAACCACCGTATTTGAGTAAGTATTCCGTAAAAGGCTGTATCAAGCTGTTCCCTTTGCGGGAAGAAAGTTCAACACGTCATGCTTCTTAGTAAACATAGAGGCGTTCAGATGGTCTTCAGAAACAAGGAGAACAGTGGCTGCTGGACGCAGGCAGCACTTTACTGTGGAAAAACGAATTCCTGAACAGGCAGACAGGTTTCTGGGCTAGGACATGGTTGTTGACAACCATCAAAGGCAATACTTTGGATGTTGTTGGAAACATTCTTCAACTGCTCTTCGTAGTTCCTTGGAATATTCCTCTCTTGCTTGCTAGGTTTCCATGCTGTTTGAAGGGCTTAATCCAGGTAGAAAGACATCTCTTAACACTTGAGGCTCTGAGGGATCTCATTTCTATGGGTGTCAGCAGTATTGCTTAATCGCCCTTTGCCACAGTAGCATCGAACACATCACCCTAAATTCAGAAGTCAGTGCAGCCTTTACTTTGGCCATTCAGCATGGGTGAGTAAGTAATATGTTGGTGTGGATTCAAGTCTGATTCAAACCAGAGGCACTGTGTGATGAGAACATATCAATATAGCAATATTCTTCATTTATTTGAAATAATAGATTCTTCTAACATTGAAACTTAGATAATTTCACTCATCTCTTTCAATTTTGGGACCATATTCCCTAAGTGGGTTATTTTATACAACCATTGTGAAAAATAAAACTGCTTTGAGATTCTCTGTAGTTTATTTCCTTTGAGGATCTAAGAAATGAAATTATACTATTTATTGTCTACTACACAAGAATCTTTTAGTTAGTGGATAATTGCTACTGATAACTCAATATTTTGGTCAAAACATGTGAACTAATATTTCATGAGGATGCAATTCATAACAAGTCAATCAAAAGATGACGTTTATCGTGTATAGCAAATCCATCATACATGATGTTTTCTTACTTTCATTGTCTAGTACAAAAATAAATAAATAAATCCTGGAACCATAAGCTAAAAATGAAAGATGAGATAGATTGCAGATGTAGCATTACTTTTATTACTTATGAAATGGGAGGAAAAAAGAAAAAGTACTTAAAGGTAGAAGAACACTTATGTTAGTCGTTATGAATATAAATGTGAAAGGCATGGATTGGATGCACCGAGGACCTGGCTACTATTCTGGCCGTTGATAATAAGAATACACAAGTGTCATATAACTAAACATCTGCCATTGAATACATATATTGTGATGGCAACAAAGGTCAAATGTTGTTTAATGAAGGATCATATTCAGCTTTTCAAATTATTTAGAAATGCAATTGCCCTAATATGATATAGCGATTTAGGATTTCAGAACCAAAGAATTGTGCCTCCCTATAAATAATTGATAACTGTTTTGATTTATTTTTAAAGTTATAAAATACAAGGAAAACACAAATACTTAAATATTGAAACAGCTAATCTAATAATGAAGATGCAATTTAAATGCTAAAGTACTAAAGTTTAACTCACATATCTACACACACTAGTGATTTAAAGTAGCCTAAAATTAAATTTTAACAAGGGAGGACTATTATGCAGTCTTTGCCCCTCAAAATGAATTCTGGATTTTAAATTTTGTTACCAAAAAACAAGCTTTTCCAAATTTTAAACAATATATTCTCAATTTAAATTAATAATATACATTATAGAGATACATTATCAATGATTTCAACACAAAAGGTCAAAGAGCATATGATTCATAGTAATTCAAATTTGTATTTCTAAACAAATGCATATATTTACTGTTGCTATATATCAATTGGTAAGTCTGCATCAAATATAGTGAAAAAATTGATTCTCCTTCTTTTGTTCTTAGTGAGTACGGATTTTAAAGTTTTACATTCAGAAGTGAAAATTTAAGCATTTACAAATGTCTTTCTCCACTGACTAGTTTTTCTTTTTAATTTCAAGTTTCACAGTAACAATTTTATTAATGCAAATGTTAATGCTGCTTATATTTTAATGAAAATTTCTCTAATTCCTAAGAATCTAGTGTTTTCATTTAGAAATCTAATTTTAGGGATTATGAAATATGTTAACTGTTATGTGTGTTGCTAGAAATCAATGAATGTGTCTATTATATTATCAAGAAAATTGCATTTGTTTGCATATTATCCAAATATGTATTAGAATAAACTAGTTTTCAATAACAATTTATTTTTTCTGTTTAGCCAGCTCACATTATTCAAAATTTAGGGGATAGGATGAATTGTGACCTCGATGAAAAATAAGTAGAACAATAGCTATTTTGTTCTTACTTATATTGTCCTTAGTTCTTCATATAATTTTAATCGTGTCTGAATATTTTTAAAACTTCTAGTGTTTCATGTCATCTTAGACTCACACAATTATCTTTAAAATTACATCATGGCTCTGATTTAACAGGCATAATCAATTTTAACCTAATAATGCAAACTATAACCCAAAACCATTCCTGATCATTTTGCCCTCCAAATTCACATGATAATAGTTGTTAAAAGATGTATCATTTATCATTGGCAATGGAAATATCCTGATCTTCTAAATTGAAAAGCACATCCCTTATGTAATTAAAGAATCTAAAAATTGACTCTAATTATTTCTTTTAATGAGAATGTTTAAATAATTATTGAGGTAGCAGTTTTTCTTTTGCTAAACTTGCAGTTAGTTGTATAATGAACATTATGTACATTTTGATGTTCAGAGCAGTAGCTGTATACTTAGTTAAAGCTCTAAAAATAGCTCAATGAGGCTACCGCTGTCATTTATGAAATGATGACAGGAAAATAGTGACATGCTTAATAATACAAATGATATCATTGTTTATACCCAAGAACTTTCCATTTCTATACCTCTGATTGCTAAGGTTAAAATTGAAAATGGCAAGAAACCAATTTTTACACAAAAGTACGCGTTAAAAAATTGTATTTTGTGTTTATAACAGCATACCTAAATACAGTCTCATGTTTCCTTTTGTTTAAAGAAAAGATTCATGAGCGTATACACGATGCATTTAATGAAAAAGAATCTATTTTTTTTTTAAGCAGGAGTAATTTTGAAAACACATCTCTAAATACTTGCTCCTTAGTCATGAGCTCTTTATGAACATGCTCTTATTTTTGTTACAATGTCATCATTTGCTAATACTCGGATAAGGACCAAAGTGACACACTTAAAAATTAAGAAAAGAAATTTAAACATGTAGAATATATTTATCATGAAATAAAGTCTACACAGTGTTTAGATTTATCTTAAAATGTTAATGAATTTTAGCTTAACCTCACCTTAAATTTTTATTAGAGTAATAAAAATTCTTAAATCTTACTTTAACTTGTTTTCAGAAGATATCTTTTTTTTTAGCTGTCTCCTATGATACCTCATGATGTTCCTTCTACTTGACTGTATGCTTTTTTTTTACATCCTCAGCATTTTAAAAAAAAATTTATATTGTTGAAAGTATTATAGAAGTCCTTCTTTTTCCCCATTGATCCCTAACCAGCACCCATGGTTAGTCTCTGAGGTTTAAAAATAACCTATTTTTTTTAAATCTCTTTTTTTAATATATTTTATTGATTTTTTTACAGAGCGGAAGGGAAAGGGATAGAGAGTTAGAAACATTAATGAGAGATAAACATCGAGCAGCTGCCTCCTGCACACCCCTTACTGGGGATGTGCCTGCAACCCAGGTACATGCCCTTGACCGGAATCGAACCTGGGACCTTTCAGTCCGCGGGCCGACGCTCTATCCACAGAGCCAAACCGGTTACAGCAAAAATAACCTATTTTTATGATGGTGAATTGAAGAATTAGAATTATAGGCATCTTTAAAAACTAACGTAGTCTTTCAAATGACACAATAAGTTATACATAAAACAATCTAGATTGTCACAGCAAATAAGAACAAAAATAATTTAAGAATATAATTGGTAAAAGTTATTAATATAACTTAGAAAAACCCAATAGTTAAAACATCTTTAATATTATTTTTCAATCATTCTTGCTTATAATTTTGTCTTCACATTTTGATCAGATCTGGTAAGATTTTTGTCAGTAAATAAACATGTCTTTCAGTAAATAATCATCCTAAACAATACAGAAGTAATGGTATAAGTATTAGAAAAATTGTTGATTTTTTTGTCAATAAACATAGTCCCTAAGAATTGAAAAATTGAAGACAATCATAAGATAATCAAAGAAATTTTATCTAAAATATATTTGTGAAAATCTTTCATTTATTAAAATCATACAACAATAGATTATAAAGAATAAAGTGAGAAAAAATACATTGACATACTAATTTTCAAAATTCTAAATCCATGACATTTCCTGCCTTCAAAGCATGCCACATTTAGACTAGTCCATATGTGCTGAAATATCCTGCGAGCTGCTTCCTGACCTCACTTTAGTTTTGCCTACTTTTGAGGCTTTTTGAAATTTCAATGCTACTCATCCATGTCATAACGTAAGAAAAGATGTCGGAACTTCAAAACATTGCCTTTAAAATATTGCTGACATTTTACCTAGACTTTGTTTTTAGTAAACCTTCCATTGGGAAATTTATTTGGGGCATCTATATTAATTCCACGGAGTACTTGAAGTTTTTATTTGATTGGAATTATAGAGCATGTTTTGTTTAGTCACATCTCTTCCGATCCCTTCATGACTTCAGGCTGCCTTCTGTACGTTTTCATGATTTCTTGAACTCACTAGTGTGGCAAGAACATATATAGAATTGCAAATAAAATGTCTTATTGATACACATTATCCTCATATTACATACTCTTTTGTAGTGTTTTCTCTGAGATTTGTATATTCCTCTAATGTGATAAAGATAATCCACTTTATCATATATTAAAGTCCACAAATGCATATTTTTATATATGACCTTTTCAACATTTCTGTCTCATAGACCCATACATCACTAAATGGATGGACACCTTTTTTGAATTTTTGTCCTTTTCCAGCAGATATGTTTATTTCTGTTCACTTATTTTTTCAAGTTGTGCTACTTTTT